CATCCATCCATCCATATAGCATCCATCCATCTATGCATCCATCTATCCATCCATATCCCATACATCCATCCATATCCCATACATCCATCCATCTATGCATCCCATGAAATCCATCTATTCATGCATTTCATCTATATYCATCCATCCATCCATTGTCTTTCTTTCTATCTATCATTCTCCATTTTTATTTCTGTAATACCTCTTTTCAGGAGGAAATACAATACTGTAAAGAACTAAAACAGATGTGCTTCCATGACAACAAAACCACACAAGATGATGCTGCAAGCTCTAGATAGGTTCTCCTACCCCCTTCCCTATTCCTGTCGCAAAAAAGTTTTATAACAAGTACATAGAACTGCTTTCTACTGGTGCAAGCAAAACTTGTGTCAAGAACAAGTTTGAGGATGAAATTGTGCAGCAGTGTATAATATGCAAAGCTTCTCTCGAAACTAAAATTCTTCGACATACCCCAGTGAATATGTATCCAATCAGGGCTCGATATTCCGGCAGGCACCATAAATGGTGGATGATGATGGTTTCATAAAAATATTGCGTCATGTTAATAAAACAACTCTAAAATTTTATTCTACAGCAAATAATAAAAAGTTGAAAGAAAGATTTTCATTTATTTATGATGAATATTGTTAACCTTATGGTAACAACGGTAAATATGATTAAATGATAAGGAATTTGCAATATTTTTGTTCGATTATATAATTTTTTTAATTGTAATGTTTTTCATTTCCCTGAGGATGGCCGAGTAGGCCGAAAGCTCAGAACATATTTATTGAATTAATGGTTGATAAAACAAACTATTATGAATGTAACAACAACCAACAAGGAACTATTTGATTTATTTCAGTATTATTTTCATTGCATATGAAGCTAGAGCCATGCAGTAAAACAAGGAAATAAAAATAAAGTTTATACTGACAAACAGTATCCATTTAGTGACTAATAGTTGTTATCACTCAACCAGAACATTCATTATACAAAAGACGCAAATGGTCTCTTGTGAATTTGTCTTTGTGTAATGAATATTCAAGTTGAGTGATAGCATTTAATATTCACTAAATAGCTACTATTTAGTTTGTCAGTATCTACTTTATTTTACTGTATGCGCTCTATTCTCTACTTTCACATCCCCATAATGCCTTGCGTCTTTGGGGGGTAACCAATCAAAAAATTGTCCCAAATTGAAAGGTTTCTTAATTGAATTTATACTATACCTGATTTTATCTGTACAATACTGATTATCAGTTTATTCTAAGTTATTTTTGCATATACAGATCATCAAGGGTTTTAGTCTTACAGAAAATGTATTGACTTACGAAAAAATTTACCTTAAACGTCTTCAAGCTTCTATCTTTTTCTGTTTTATACTTCTTCATTTTATCTTTGGATACCAAACAAGGTATTGTCAACATTCTCTGATCAGCCTTCCGCAAAATAAGTGGGTCTTTATTCTCTGGTTACCCCCCAAAGACGCAAAGTATTATGGGGATGTGAAAGTAGAGAATAATAGTTGGTATTTTTTTCTAGGGAGGGGAGGGTAGGATGATTTTGCTCCTTAACACTAATATTTGACCAGGCTTTACTAGTAACATGTTTTACCCACCAACTTAATTAAACTAACTACATTTTGTAAACATAACGAATATGAGAATATATAAATGCCTAGATAAAGCAGCATTTTCTTTCGCGACTTGAATCGCTCTTACTCGGCCTTCGGGGGGTCCTTATGAAGTCGTTCTATCAGTTCTTTATGATCTGCGAATTGCTCACAAAGCTTTTCAACATGAGCGACCTCTGAATCAGCATAATGGAATCCTGGACTCACAGCAACACTGAAAAAACCATAAGTATCCTCTTTATCGACGAGTTCCCCGGCAAACCAAACCCCAGCTGGTATAACACATGCAAACTCAGCCTCTGGATCAACGGTGGTATCTCCAACAATTCTCGTCGTGAGTTTCCCTTCTTCATCGATGGTGTATAGCTTCAAAAACGTTCCTTTATGGTAGAAGAAGGTTTCTTCTGATTTGATTTTATGCCAGGGATCGATGTCTTCGTTCTTCATGACAAGATAGATACATGTGGAGGCACTTCTGGCCTCGCGGTCGTCCAAGGGTTTGACTGCTTGTGTCGATCGGTGGACTTCCTTGAAGAAACCACCATAGGGATGTGGTTGGAGGTTGAGACTCTTGATTAGATCCTCTGCCATGGCGTTAGAGTCGTATTAGGGGCTGACGGTTTTGATTTTTGATGTGGATCGCGTGAGAAAATTAGTTTTTTACTGGTATAAAATTGATACTAACAGAGGAAGACGTACATACTAGCGAAACCAAAACACAGGTAGCCCATAAGGGTATTTGGAAGGGTAGGGTGTCTATCACTTGCACAGCTCCACTTGCAATAGTTAAACGGTCTTTGAATCTCATTACCTGCTCCAAATGGAGGACAGGAAGCCCAAGCAATGTACATGTACCTTATATATTATATTACAAAAAAATGTATGTGAGTATGGCGCTAGGACGATTGCACGATGACGTCATTGACCTCTTCTACCAGACTCCCTTGCACACTTTCTTTTGTGTTCCCTTATTCTCATGAGGGAATACAAGTTAAATAAAAAAGAAAATAGTCAAAGGAGTAATATAATAACCCCTAGGTCTATTATGCATTGTTTCAGATCAGTCTTTCTCGGTGACAGAACTTTGGATTGAATGAAAATATTTCCCCCCATTCTTTTCCCTTCTAAACCACAGGAAGCCCATACGAGGATTCAGAGCGGAATGTTATTTAAAGAATAAAAAAAGAAAATCTAAGCCTTACTCACATGAAGTGTTTTTTACGTCGTCCTTGGTCTTAAGTAGTAATTTCGAGCTATTTTAGCGATTTGTAAAAAATCTTCACTCCCCCTAAAATGGCTTGTAAGTAAATAGCTTTTCTTTTTTTATTCGTTAAAGTATGGGTTTCTGTGTTAAAACATGGATGGCATGCTCTTATGAGGAAGCTGATGTAAAGATGCAGTAAGGTAGGGATTAAATAAATGGGATTCTAAGGCTGCATTCATAATGTTTGACAGAGGGGGGGGGGGCAGGGGAGATTGAGGGGGGGTCGGGAAAAGTTTGGTAGGATAAGGGGGGAATGGGCAAATTTTTATCAGAAAAATGGGGGGATGCACAATTTTTGGAAGAAGTATTTTTTGCATGACTTTAAGGGAGGGGGGTGTATTATTCTGGACATTTCAAACTTTCCCCCCCCCCCCCCCCCCCCCCTGCCATACTTTATGAACACAGCCTAATATCAGTGGCATTTCCAGAGTGGCTCTTCATCAACTGAATTCCAATTGGAATTAAGAAGTTGACTTTTGCAGAGGGAGGAAAACCCAGAGAAAAAACACTCGAAAGCACAGAAGAGAACCTCTACTTGCATACAACGCAGAGTGTGAGAATCAAAGCTGGGTTGTCTTTGGGGAGGGGCGAGCTCTCTCCCCATTACACCACCCATCCCTATATATGGATAATGTATGAATTATCATTAACTCCTTTATTGTATTTGATACACTATTTTCATAAAATATCATAATATTTTAATGTAACTTACATTAAGGAGCAATAAAACGGAACACTGACAAAATCATGAAATTTTTCACTCTGCATCGTGTTACAAGTTGCAGAGAGAATGTCCCTCGTATTACCCCTCCTGCAACAACACAATTTTGCTGTTGCACAAAGTAGACRCCTTCTCTACTCTTTGCAACATTGTACATGTATTGCCCATGGACTGCTAATAGGAGCAAATTTCTCTCTGAAACTTCCAATGCAACAATGTTATGGGACAAATGGCATGCTTTTGTTGCTAGTATTACTGCACCTTTTCTACTCTTAAACTATACACATAATTCAATAGCGAATCTATTATTTATGGCTATCATTTATAGGAAGGTYAAAACTCCCATTAATTTAATATTGATAATTAAATTGAAGTGTTTTGAAGTGAGARGGGAGGGGTAGGGCAAAGGCAGCCCCACCCCACACCCCCAAAACTGAAATATATGTACAATAAATTATACCCAGAGATAATACCATGATATGTGATATGTCTGCAGTTTCAATCTGCTTTGTGATTGGTTGAATGTTTCCAGTATCATTTCTGATTGGTTATCTGCAGTTTCAATCTGCTTYGTGATTGGTTGAATGTTTCCAGTATCTTTTCTGATTGGTTGTCTGCAGTTTCAATCTGCTTTTTGATTGGTTTAGAGAAGAAAAAAAATGGAATGTCACTGGGTAAGGTAGATTTTCAACCCTTACCAAATCTCCATGTTCTTAAAAAAAATACAAATTCCTTTGACGATAGTCAGAGCTATAAATTTGAATTCTGGGCAGACAATTTTGGCAGAATGCAAAAATTATTGATTCCTTTCTTGTCATTTCTCGTCAAATAAACCTCTTCATCTTGGGTGTTTTTCCATTTCATCCCACGTGTCATTCCTTTAAGAATAAGATACTTTGTTTAAGTGATATCCATATTCATGTGTCTTCTTATGTGTAACCGCTAAGTAAAGAAATGATACTCTAGAGAATGACGCGTGGTCGTCTGAAATGAAAAACATTTCGCCAAAGGTAAAGAGACTCATCTAGAAACAACTGTCATCATTCCCTTGCAAACTTTACGTTTTTCTTATTTCCTGAAGGTTTTAGAGATGGGAAAACGGTTGCACCCAAAGGAAAATAGAACCTTTTAGCCCTGGAAAACTCTCAATACCGTACCGTAAGTCAATACCGTACGTTTCCCACTCATACGATAACCATTCTAATGGGAAGCTATATTTTAATTTTACGGCATGTCRTACCATATACGTACTGTAAGTCAGTACCATTCATTTTGTATTTGAAGGACAAAAAGAAAAATGAGATTCAAAAGTAATAAATAGCTATTTTTTCACTCGAATTTGACACTTTTTTTTTACAAGAAGAATTTTTACAAGAAGAAATTAGTTCTCTTACCTTACATGTAGTTCCACTATTTTGAACGCGGAGAAAACAAAGTTATAACAATAAATAACATATACTATATATATAATTATGCACGCGGTGTAAAGGCCCGCGAAATACGACCCAACTTCATTTCCGAGCGCGCAACAAGATTTCACACACCTTTTCCTGGAACAAAGTTAAGAATTAAGAAACAAGAAAAAGAAAGGAAAAAAAAGAAGAAAAAAAACATTTACATATTTTTTTAACTTTTTTTGCCCAAAGTTCTAATTGTTTCAGGAGGAGGTTAAATCACTGAGAACATTTTTCGCGTTTAGTTTAGCATTTTTTGTGAGCAGTTGGACCCGGCAATACGTTACAACTTAAAAGGTCTGCAACATTGCGCGCGCAAACAGTTGCAACATGCGTCCCGACCTTAGTGCTGATTCATATAAACCTATTTCAAAAAACGTTGTCATCGCCAAAGGCAATAGGCGATAGGTCATTCCGAGACGGAAATGGTTTCGTCGACTACAAAAACGCTGAATGAATCTGTCTCAACACTAAGGTTCACCTTCTTGACGAGAATAAGAAGCAGAAACACAAGTCATTCCAGCTATTCTTGGACYTTGGTATGACCTATCTCCTATCGCTTTTCGCCTAGTATCTCCTATTGCCTATCGCCTTTGGCGATGACTACGTTTTTTGAAATAGTTGTATAAACGTAATGGTGATAGGCAAACGATAGATATAATTTACTCTATAATGCAGTTCTGCGATCAATGAGTGGACGCAGTTTTTCTTGAGTTAAAGTGGTTTGTTCGGTTGCATTTTCATTTGAACACTGAGAATTATCCTGAGAAGACCCTCTCGGACTTTTCTTTTCCTTTTGTAGAGGTTTAAACGCGGCAGGCAACGAGTACCTTCTGTTAAATCTTATTCCAGGTATCTTGAGGGTCAGTCTTCCATCACTGTTTGTTTCTGGGTAATATATAGCGCTTCCTTGTGACCCTCGGCGTTGGTCTACCGTCCGTTTTTTCGCTAATGTAATTTGTATCTGCGGTGCTGACGAGTTCTTTACCCTGCGACAAATATTCACACAGTCTTTCTTGAATTGGTAGGTGAATATAGCGTAGAGGAAAGGATTGGCACACGAGTTCAAAGGAAAGACAAAGATGGTGAAGACTTTTGCTTCCTCCAAGCTCACAAACGACTTGCCAAAAGCGGCGGGAAAAGCGATGATGACGATAGGAGCCCAACATGCAAAGTCGGTCACTACCAATAATGCCATGCGCATGGCGACCTGTGTGTCGTTGGTATTCCACGCGTTTGAGCCGCGAATCTCGTGATAAATTCCAACGTAGCACACGAAAATAATGACGAATGCGATAAAGTTGAATGACAGGATTAATGATACAAAGGCGAGGGATTTGACGTCTCCGGTTTCGAATGGAAGACAGACACTAACCTTGGTGTAGTCACTGACTTTGTACAATGGCAGAGTAGCGATCACAATGGCCATGATCCAACCAAACGTCATCACGACCGCTGTCTTACGCAGGCTCATCTTTCGGTGAACGTGAAGCGCATGTCTTATAGCGATAAACCGCTCGATGGTGATCACCGCTAGTGTAAAGACTGAAGCTTCACTAGAGAGAAGTGCCAGAAACCCCGCCGTTTGGCACCCATGGCTTTGCTGCCAGTCGACGCTATGATGCATAAAGCTGCCAATAGTCGTAGCGTCAACGAACGCGAGAAATCCCAAATATATTCCCATGCAAAAGTCCGCCATTGCAAGATTCATAATCAAAAATCTAGATACGTCGACCTTAGTGTTTGATAGGAGAATCACCGCGATGACAGTAGCATTGCCAAACAACGCTAATAAAAACACGAACCACACACCCACCCTGAGCAACCACGACCCCATGAAGTCATTACAAGGGGAAAACGGATCTGGCAGGGGGGTGCAATTCACTTTTTTGTATTGAGTCTTATGAGTTCCCGCTGATTTACCAGGATTTTCATTGGATGTGGAATTTTCAGAGTCGCTGGACGCAGACCCTTCGCTGTCACTGTCATCTGAGCCGAATCCAGAGACACCGTCTTCACCATCAGTATAAGACGAGTTTTCAAATTGGTCTACTCGGAGGTACTTGTCACTGACGGCCCAGTTCCATTTAGATTCCTCGGCATTTGTGACGTACATTTTTCCACTGAAGGAACAGCAGTGATAGGGATAGCTTGCCTTCACTATCCTCACATTCGGGAGGGTGTCAGACAAGATTTTATTTAGCTTGAGGTTTCCTCTCACGTCCAACTCAAGGACATTTTGTAATCCTTGTGAAGGTAGGCGAGGAAAAGAATTGTGGCTCAAATCACTGGAATTGGAAGAGAAAGGCAATCAGAAGAAAAACAACAATCAAAAATCAAGCTCTTACCCTGCGTGAATACTTACAGTATTTCCAATTGATCTATTGGAACAAATGCTGTGTCAGCGATGGAAATGATATTGTTTTTTGCCAATTTCCTAGAAGAAAGTGAACAGTTTTAACTAAAGATATTGATAGCTCGATCCATCCAGAACATATCGTAAATCCTCAGTTATAAGCCCTGGGCTTGCACTTTGTCATAAGGAATTTTTGATGAGCTAATAGAGGTTTTGTACTATCACGTGACGGCAGCCATGTTAGATGGCAGGAACAATACAATCGTTTTACGTAAGAAAGAATTTAATTCCCAAGAGCAAAGGGATTTTATCGTTCTGCCATCTAACCACATTCAGTCCAAGCTGTATTATGGGCGTCAACACGTGATGTTTCAAAACCTCTATAACCCAGGGATGGGAGGGAGGCAGGGGGGGGGGGGGGGCTTATGACTGGAAGGATATCTGCATTAGCAGACTAGTTATAAGCTGAAAACTTATGGTGGACGAGCCTTCTCTGTTGCAGGTCCTGAACTTTGGAACGAGATCCCGATAGATATCAAAAGTCTCAACAGGTTCGAAGCATTTTACTGAAAAAGCATCAAGGCCTTACTTTTTCATGATGCATTTCAAAAATTCTGTAAATAATGAACCATTTTGTACTGTCTACAGCGAGCTGACAGCGTCATTGAACTTCTGGAAATAGCGCTATATAAATACAGTTATTTCAAAAAATACTGAATACTGAATACTGCATACTGAATAGTGCATTTCAAGACCAAAAAGCATAGTGGGTCATAGTGACATTGTCTAAAGTAGGATTAATAATAATTATTTATTCTATTTTTAGTGTATTCCATCTGAAACAATATACTAACTACTTGTAGAGAGTTGAAACTTCGGTCTTGGAATGCACTATTCAGTATGCAGTATTCAGTATTCAACCTTTTTTGAAATAGCTGTATACACTTATTTCAATAAAGTTAGTCACCTGAAAAGCTACAAAGCTGAGACCAACAAGGATTATGGGTAGTTACATTTTACATGTTTCAACCGCTTTAATAACTGTTGATGGATTTTAGATCTTTTACCAGTTACAGTCTCACCTCTTCTGAGCATCCTCAAGCTGCAAATCGTATCAAAAGCTTTACTTGTTTGATATTTAAAAATTCCCATGATCCTCAGTGATCTCAGCTTTCTAGGTTTTTTGGTGACTAACTTTATTGAAATAATTGTATTATCAAATTATTGTTATATTATTATAACCACAGGGGGGTTTTATGACTTGAAGGATGTTTACATATTAGCACTAGTGGGTTAGGTGGGCGTAGAACCCCGATTTTACGTTATTTTACGTTTCTTCTCTGAGAAGTAGAAGATTACAAAAAAACTCAAGGAAAGGACGCAAGTTTTTTTTTGTACTCACAATGTATTAAGAAGACTGTCTCCTTTGAAAACATTCGCTGGGATTTCTTTTATGTTGTTACCATTCAGCGTGCTAAAAACGAGAACAAAAAATATTATATTTAACAATTATCTATGAAGTTATTATCGCTGGAATATTTACCAAGCCAAGAGTCTTCAAGAGGAGAGGTATTTTTTCACCATAATCACTGAGCCTGAGGGGACTAATTGTTTTAGTATAATCTTAGACTTGAATATCAGAGAAAAGTGGAATTTCAAGATGAAACAACGTTTTAGTGATTATTTCCACTTTGGCAAACTTTGGAAGACCTCATAAGTAATTGTCGTCTCACAATCACTGGTCGCTCGACCAATCACAGCGCGACACACTCTATTCAAGTCTAAAATTATACTAATAAACATTAATATCCAAAGGAACAAACAATGACTGCCATGCCTCATTAACGTATAGCATGTGACATCATCAC